ATGTATGTTGGTAGTTCAGGAAATTAAAGGGTGGGGTGGCAGTGGCAGTGGCAGTGAGGGAGTCCAGCCCATTCCACATGCTCAAGTGGGAAGAGGGAGGGGAGGGTGGTGATGGTGGAAGGGATATGGGGCGAGATTAGAGTATGTTTTCTGGGGATATATATGCCGGCAGATAGTAACATACGGTTAAGGTGAATTTTGTAAGGGAGGTTTTGCTTTTCTACATGCGGGGTTTACCAATGGTTTCTAAAATAGGTGGGGATTGGAATTGTGTAATCAGGAATAAGGATGTGGAACCGAGAGGGGCAGGGTGTATGCTTGGGGTATTGAGGGTTTTTGTTGAGGGATGCGGGGGTTTATGATATAGTCAGGGGCGATGGGTGGAAAGTAGAGCACACGTTTATGCGGGGGGGTTATGCTGCCAGATTGGATCGTATATATATAACTCGAGATATAACAGTAGAAACGTGTAATGACGATAGATTAGGTTTTTCGGACCATCGTGCCGTTTTGGCAGAGATGGCATGGGAAGGGATGGTTCGTAGTATGTGGGTTATTGGAAAATGAATGTGAGGCTACTTCAGGAGAGGGGGAGGGGTTGTTTTTTGGGGAATGGTGGAAGCAACTATGGGAGGCTCGCAACGAAGAGGAGGATGTCTTGGAATGGTGGAGAAGCACGCTAAATTGCAGATTGGGGAGTATTACCAGCATAGAGGAAGGGATGAGGCGAGGTGTAGGTATGGTTTACAGAAATATTTAGAGGGCAGCTAAATGATTGTTATGAAGGGGGAGGGGGCTAGACATGAGAAATAGAGGTTTTAAGGGGAAGATTGGGGGATATACAAAATTCTCGTTTTGATGCGATACGTGTGAGGGAAGGTTTAGAGGAGGTTCTATGGGTGACAAACCGTCAGGATGGTTTTGAGGAGATTTAGGAATAGGCAACAGATGACCCACGATTATGGGATTAGAGGTGTGTAAAGGGGTGGGGGGATATAGGGTGGGGCAGGTACTTAGTACCACCGATGAATGAGCAATTATGCTGATTATTGTTTAGGGAGAATTTTAAGCAGAGGGAGGGAGGAGAGAGGGAGGGAGAGATTCTGGGAGAAGGAATTCGAGGTATTTTAGGGGAGGAGGAGAGTGCGGTAATAGAGGGTAGGATCAGTGAGGAGGAGGTGGAGGAGGCGATAATGGGCTTGAGTAGGGAAAAGCGCCGGCATTGATGGAATTCCTAATGATTTCATATATTACACATTGGGATTGTATGAAGGAATGTCTGGTCCGGTTGTTTAACTGTATGAAGGAAAGGGGAGTGTTGGGGGAATCGCAGGGCACAGGGGTAGTAGTTTTGGTCTATAAGGGAGGGGGGGGGGGAAGACCTTGGGTGCTTTTAGGGCGATCTCCCTCATGTGTGCAGATTATAAAGTTTTTGCGAAGGTTTTAGGTAACCGTATGAAAAAGTGCTTGACCGAGTCCTACATAGAGGACAGTGTGGGATTCCAGGTCGAAGTATGCGTGAGGGGCATGGAAGAATTAAGGATTTTGTGGAGGGTAGACAACGGGGGGGATCTTGGGGATTGATTGGAAGCAGGCTTATGACAGTGTAGATAGACATATGTTGTGATGTATTTTAAAAAAACAGGGTTTTGGTGATGAGATTGTGCGCTGGGCGACTACTTTTTTATACGCCTGCAACGGTCAGGGTTTCAGGTTAATGGGAAGTTAGGGTTGCCAGTGCAGATGGGGATGGGTTTGCGACAGGGTTGCCCCTTGTCTCAAATCATCTTTGCATGCATGCAGGACCCTTTTATAGGCTTATAGAGGAAGGAGTGTGGAACAGGGAGAGGTGGGTCCTGGAGATGTGGTATTGTGGGGTATGTGGATGACACCACAGTTTGGTAGGAGGGGAAATAGGATTGGGGAATGTGGGACGTATAATAGAGATTTTTGGTGGGCGACAGGGGTGAGGGTTAATGGAGCAAATTCAAAGTTATTAGAAGTAGGCACGTGGGGTGGGGGGGGGATTTTGGGAACAGTATGGGTGGAACGTAGTGGATAGAATTAAGATATGTGGGGTTGTGTATATGGCGGACGCTGGGGAGGCACAGAGAATAAATTCCAAGGAAGTAGTGAGTAGAGCGATGGGTAGGATGGCGGGTGGAGGGCTGGGGATGTAACATTGCAGCAGAGGGTGGTGGTAGTAAATACACTTGTGTACAGTAAAGTGTGGGGCGTGGCAGAAATATATCCCCTGAGGTCGTGTGATATTCAAGAACTGGAGAGGGTGGTTTTGAGGTATGTGTGGGGTTATGGGAAGCCATGGCTACGGAAGGAGGTGGTGATGATGGGCGTGCGGCAGGTGGGGGTGGGTCTTATACCTTGGACACACGAGTGAAGGCAGTGTATGTGAAGGGAGCGATACTTGAGGGTGGGAGGGGAGAGGGGTAGAAGGGTGGGAGAGGTCATGAAGGATGTGCGAAAATGGTGGAAGGGAAAGGCACTACTGGAGTGTGAAGATATGGTGCGAAATTTGTTGGCAGTAAGGGAAGCAAAAAAAGTAAGGGTAAGTAGGCTTGGGGGGACAGGTAGGCAGGGTACAGTGATACAGGAGTAGCTACATACCCAATGTATGATTGGAGGGGCATTTGGGAAGACTTTCGGAAGATCAGATTAAAGCCAAGGGTTCGTGAAGTGGTTTATAGATTCTTTATGGGAATTCTAGCTACAAGGTCAGTGCTATATAGAATGGGTTATGTAGGTGCTGGCACTTGTTTGCATTGTGAGGAAGAGGAGACGGCTTTTCATGCCATATATTTTTGTGAAACCTTGGGTTTTGTAAGGGCATGGTTAGCGAGAGTTCTGGGTATAGTGGCGGGAGGGGGAAGAAACATTTCGACTTTGAGGGCTTTGCATTTTGATGTGGGAGGGGTTTCCAAGGACATTCGGAGGGCAGTGATGTATGTAGTGGCAGATTTTTTGTATGTGTCTTGGTGCATGCGGGAGGTGGGGGGTGAATATAGGGTGCGGGCACTTGCGGCGAGTGTGTATCGTACAGTATGCAGAATAGGCTACTTATGGGAGGTTGTGGGTAAATAGTTTTCCCTTGGGTTATCGAATCTGTCGGGAGGTGTAATTTAGGGTTGGGTGTATTTAGAGCTGGATTGGGCTGGTTCTCCCTAAACTGGCATTCTTATTCTTTTTTGAGATTAGTGGAGGATGGAAGATGAATAAAATGCGTGGTAGTGGAGCATATGGGTGTAAAGTCGTTAGGAATTTGGGGGGGGCGTAGGGGGTGAACTGGTGACATTTGTTAAGAGACAGGGGTTTTATGACTTTCGACGTCAGGTACGAACTTGAGCATGGAGGGAACTTGGTTTGTGTTTTTTTTAATACAGATAGCATGGGTCAGGGGGTGGCAGGGGGTGGCTTTCTGAAGTGTCTTTGCCAGGTTGGTTTTGTTAATGATTGAGGTAGTACTGCCCGTTACATGTTTTAATTAGGAGCCATAAGTTATATTGTGTAACTTAGTGCATGACAGAGTAAGTCTGATATTGCTCTGGAGCATTGTTAATGAATATAGATATCTTGTTGAACATAATACATAAAAAATGGGAATATGTATTAGTGAGTGAGTTACAATTTCTAGTGTACTGTTAACCATATTAGTTGGTATTCCCTTTACTTTGTCAAATAATTACTATCTATATATTGTTATAAGTTATTTATGTTAGTTCTTATTTTATACGTTTTAAGTGAACAAATGTAAGGTGTTGCGACTCTAGTGCAAGTGGCATTTATCTTGCACTAGGGAAAAGGGGAAGTGTAAAGTAAATATGATTGGATCATAACGAAATGTCATTGGATATATGTACACTGTATTTAGAAGACGGAAGGATTGTGAGGATTGTCAGTATATGTATTAATTCTTATGTAAATTTCATGGAATTCAGGGTGATAATAATGTACACCTATTAGTCGGATGATAAGTATTGATATTATTAGCTAATTGTAATATAATTTGATTGATGAAATGTATAATCTGGTTTTTAGCTTTGGAGTAAGAGATAAAAAGCATAGGGGATGGGGGATATTTTGTAAGCACAAAGAAGAATCAGCAGTAGTATTTAGAAAATGTAACTTTTTATTTTTCTGTGGCGGAGACGATAAGGGGTTCTCATAATTCCTTTGTTATTGTACCTTAAGTATTTTTAAATTCCCAAAGACTGATGGAGGTGAGTGGTGACGGCAGACACAGTTACAGGAATGTGGGGGGGGGGGTGAAGAGTCAGCGGTAGTGTATTAAATCCACCACCGTCCACGATATTGATTGTTATCATGGGGTATATGAGGTTAGGGTGTGGATTGGTTTTCTTTGGGGGATGTGTGCCATCATGTTCAGACTTTTCTTGTATTATAGTCAGCCTTTTAGATGGCTGGATTGTGTTTATACATGTTGTCAGAGATATCCTTAATGCTCTAATAAATGTATAAGAGATGTCAATGAGTATACTCAGGTGAAAGTGGTATGTTTTTCAAGGGGGGGGGGAGTGTCAGCATTACTAAGTAGGACTATCGTTTTTATTATAAGACCTTTTTTTCACGTGAAGCACGGTACATAAAAGTAGTGTTTGATTGGAGTGCAGCAGCCAATTCTGATGTCATTATATAAGTGCTTCTTTGGTATTTGTGTAGTCACTGCAGATTATCGTTTTACTGCCTGTATCTTGTTACATATTGATTATGTACCCATATATTTTTGTACCTGAGTTTAAATAAAATATAAAAAAAAAACCTCCTTTGATGGTATTAAAGTATTTATTTTTATACACTCGAAAGCGTGATTTAAGTTTCTTTGTTTTCAGAGTGGGTGATGGAAAGTTACTTTAAGTTGTATTAAAGTAACTTTTCTTCAGTCAAAGCACCTTGTATGAGTCTCCTGTGTATAAAAATTATGCGAAATAACAAGGCTATATTCGCCACTTTAGACCAAAAAATGTTTTGCCAATCTCAGTAAACACTTATTAACAATAATAACTTACAATGTAGAAAATAGCATGTCTGAAATTCTTGCTGCTTTAAATAATCTGAAAAAAAATTATTTCTTTCTGGCCAGAATCCTCTCAGCGAGGAACAAAAGAGAAGAGAGTACGTAGCAGAAGATGAGGACGTAGAAGATTGTCTGGGTGTGGTCAAAGCTCAGAGGCACGTTGTCTGTGTTTGTTCCCAGTTCGCCAGTCACTATCTTCACTATATCAGTCGCTCCTGCTCCCTCTATCTTGGTCTCTGCCTTGTTCTGCAGCGAAAAGGTACACTCAATGTACTGGCCATGATAACTTTGCATCTTGCGGCAGATATGACAAAGGACATATTTAAAAATACGAATACAAATTCAGCCCCAGGTGTTTATTTACCGAGTCTCCACTGACTGACGATTATTACTATTACAATGGAAAAGTCTTGTAATGTGGTACCTTTTATGCTGTGAAGGGCTCTTGGTCCAAGAATTTAGAGCTACCTTTCTCGTCTTTAAATCACATCTGATAATTTCTCATTCCTTAAGTGCTATATGGCCCCTGCATTCACATAATAATGATAATAATTATTATTTTTATTATCTAACGTTATATAATATGTATCGCTGTGACGACCAAAACTCCATTTGTGTAAAGTATTTACCTCTCTCAATAAAAACACTATCATGAGTACAACACACGTAGTACTGTTCTTTAATAAAGATGGATGTAAACGTAAGGCTATTACCCTCGGAAATGAAAATAACTATGGCACCTGTAAATTAAATAGCGGTGATCATCATTGAACTGAAAGTAAAATCTTCATAGAAAGTCTGGTTAGCGGAAATTCATATCCAAACCAACAGTGCATAAGTATTCGAAATGAAGCTAGTACAAGTTTGGTTTCATATCAAGAAGCATACATACCAAAAGTTCTATTTCAACTCTATCTTTGGTAATATCTTGTTTAGATTATTTGGTTCACTTCTGATCTCCAATTTACAGAATGGACTGAAATGCGCAGGAAAGCATGCAGAGAAGTGTAACGAAGTTGATCTCCTGCATAAGAAACCTTTCCTACGGAGACTGGATTTAACGTGCTGAAAATATGTAACTATGACAACTCATGGATTTAAGTTAGACAAACGTAGATATAGAAATGATGTAGGACAAACTAGATTTGATATTTAGTGGTGGATGAGTGGAACAAACTCATCGAATCCAGAACTTTTGGCATTAATAGGTTGGACACTTAAATAAACGGGGAGGCTGGGTGCGAGGTAGACCTGCTTTGCATGGGACAATAATCCTACTGTAGCGTTCCACTCTTCTTATGTTCAAATGCTCTAAAGAATGCATCAATAAAAGAATAAGACAATAAAACGATTTTAAGACTGATTCCTTTTGTTTTCTTTCTCGTGTTAAATGTCCACATGATCAGCATAAATTGTGGAAGGATTGGCTGCTCGACCTTTGGGAAGAGCGGACGTTCGCTTGGCCTGCCCCCTACTGACAACTGGTGAAAGCTTGGTTTTCACAAAATAGCACAGCAGGGGCGACGATGTATCAACACTGTCTGCATAGAATTGGTGTGCGGGGTAGTTGCACAGAATGCTTTGGTATTGCTGCCAGCCATTATTCGTGATACTTACTGTGTCGCCAACAAGGAGTTACATGGTGTGGCACTAAACGGTGTGTACAGGATCTTCGTCAAACTACTCAACGCCAGTGTCTATGAGAATTTCGTGGAAGGGTTTCAAGAGGTTTGTCTCGAAGTCAACTCTGCTGTTAGTGTGCAAGTGAGTGATGTGTCTCGTTATTACATGTGGATAAAAGTCCAAAACATGCCTTTTGAGGCAGACGAGCAGGATCTTCGAGCTATTTTTGTACAATATGGGGCGGTCCACATGACTACGGTGGGGAAGTGGATGGAAGGAACGTATGCTGCACTACCAGAGGGAATGTTCACGTTGAAAATGACGTTGAGACACCCCATCCCATCATTTGTGATCTTGGAAGACTTCAGGACGCAAGTGATGGTCACATATGCAGGGCAGCATCCCACTTGCCTAGTATGCTGGGCCTATGATCACATTGTGGCACAGTGTGGTCATCAGCAGGGGTCGATGACCACACATGTGGTCATCGCCCCCCATGACCTAGCGGTCATGGGGGGCGACTGGAATTGTGTGGTATATCACAAGGAAGTGGAGTCATGGGGGGAGGGGTTTTGTTCGGAAGTTCTGGTGGATCTGTAGAAAGAGTGGGGTTTGTGGACATGGGGGGGGTTCTGCATGGGAGGTGGAACACACCTTTGTGTGGAGGGGTATGCATCTTGGCTTGATCGTTTGTATGTGACTAGGATGGCGGAAGTTAGGAGGGTGCGTGTGTTGGATGTGTTTTTTTTTTTGGGACCATAGAGGGGTATTGGTGGAGTTAGAGTGGGGAGGACTGCCTCGCACCTCGGGAGTTACTGGAAATTGAATGTCCAGTTGCTTAATGACAAGGAAGGAAGGGTTTCATTTGCTAGGTTGTGGGAGAGCCTGTGGATGGGGGAGGGCAGTGTGGGGGATTTGTTGAGTTTGTGGGATAAGGAAGCTAAGCGGAACATCTGGGACTTTTATGTTCAGAGAGGGTGGAGGGAGGCTCAGTTTGCCAATGGGCTTATCAAGTATCTTGAGGGGCAGTTGCGGGAATGTTATGGGATAGGGAGGCAGTGATACCCTGTTGAGGTAATAGAGGGGATGAAAGACAATAACAGAGATTTGCAGAATGAGAGGTTTGATGCGGTGTGGGTGTGGGGAGGGGGTTGGAGGAGGTGGTGTGGGGAGACAGGCCATTGGTGTGTGACCTGCATGGGCAGTGGCGATGGAAAGTGGCCATGGAAATGGTAGGATTGCATGTGCATGTGGAGATGGGAGGGTATAGGGAGGGGCAAGAGTTAGTCACAACGGAGGGCATGGGAGGTTATGTGGATGCCTGGTACAGGCCATATATGAGGAGTGTGAGTGTGAGGCTGCTTTAGAGGACATGGGGGGATGAGTACAATGTGTTCTTGAGAAGGGAGACAGGAAGGTATTAGGTGGGATTATCAATGAGAAAGAGGTATGGACGGAATTGATGGGAATGCGTGGGGGTAAAGCGCCAGGGATTGGCGGTTTGCCAAGTACGTACACCATTTGGGTGTTTTAAAAGGGTTTTTCATGAGACTGTTCAATGATTTGAAGGACAGGGGAGATATAGGGGATTTGCAAGTGACAGCAGTTGTGGTCATGGTACCAAAGGGGGATGGACCATCAACGATAAGGGACTCTTGAGCAATATTACTTCTGTGTGTGGATTATAAATTATTTGCTAAAATACTGGGCAACAGCTTGAAAAGGGTCATTGGCAGAATTGCTGCAGTTGGACAATATAGGGTACCAGGGAGGTCAATGTATGAGGGACATGGGGTAATTAGAGGATTTATAGAGTGTGTGCAAGAAGAGGAGGGAGGGGGAGTGTTGATGCTGGATTGGAGTGCAGTGTATGATTGTGTGGAAAGGGAAGCTTTGTGACGTATTATGCAGTGGCAGGGGTTTGGGGAAGAGATCGTGTGTTGAGCATGCACTTTATATCAGGGGGCAGCTATGGGTGGGCAGGTAAATGGACGGGTGGGGTCGTGCATCATTATGGCAAGGGGTTTGAGATAGGGATGTCCCCTCTCTCAGATTCTTTTTGCGTGTTTGCAGGATCCCTTTTATAGGGTGGTGGAAATGTGTGTGAGGGACAGGGTGATCAGGGGGCTGGGTTGTGGTAGACTGGGAATTGTTGGTTATGTTGATGATACGACAGTTCTGGTGTGTGTGGGGGGGAGAGATTTTAGGGAGTGTGGGACAGCTTGTGGATTTATTTGGGGAGGCAACTGGCACGAGGGTGTATGTAGCTAAGTCGAAGTTCATGGGGATTGGGTACTGGGATAGATTGCATGATTGGTAGATTAGAGGGGTTGCAGCCGAATCACCTCACGCATCACCATCCTTCTTTATAGTAAAATATGGCATGTGGCAGTGATGTACCCATTGGTACCGAAGGATGTTAAGCTTCTGATGTGTAGGGTATTCCGTTTCATTTGGGGGTTGGGATGTGATTGGTTGAGGAGGAGGGTGGTGACAATCCCAGTACACCAGGGAGGGCTGGGGTTAATTCTTTTGGAGTGTAGACTGAAGAGTGTTTATGTGAAGCGTGGGTTCCTGCTGGTGGGAGGGGTAGGGGAGGATAGGCGTTGTGTATGAGGATATTCGGAGGTGGTGCGTGGTAGGGATTTAAGGGATTGCAAGGATATGTTATGGGTGTTAATGCATGTTAGGGATCTGGTGCATCTGTGGGTTTGGGTCATCGATAAAGTGGTAGGGACTCGGGAGGTGGCTTCTGTGGAAGGGGCGTACCCAATGTATATGTGAACAGATATTTGGGGTCGCTTACATATAAGGCTGTGTGAGAGGGAGGTAATGTACAGGTTCCTTCATGGGATCCTGCCATCGGGGATGGTTTTACATGATAGACAGAATAGGGGGGATTAGGCATGCAGAGAGTGTGGGGAAAGAGGACAAGGCACTTCATGAGGTACACTTTTGCGAACGTTTAGGTATTGTGAGGGAATGGATGGGGTGCATGGTACACTGGATGGGGGGAGGGGAGGACTGTCGGTTTTGCAGGTGTTAAATTTGAATGTGGGTGGAGTGGGAGCCAAGGTCCAGAGAGCTGTGGCATACCTGGTAGTCGATTTTGTTTTTGTCTCATGGGCAATGAGGGATAAAGGGGCAGGGGAATATAGGAAGGTCCTAACAGCGACCATTTACAGAATGAAGTGTCGTAACAGGGACCTTTATGGGAGGAGGTGGGGGAAAAGATTTTTCAATGGGGTACCATCGTGTCATGGTGAGGGGATTTATTGAATTTATGAGGAAGTCAGAGGTTGCAGCAGGTTGGTCTTCCGGTGAGGGGCAGGGTGCGTGCCTGAGTATGTGAACTCCCCTGAATGAGTGAGGATTATGTATGGTTTAAGGACGGTTGATTAGTGGAACCTGTGTGGGTTGTTGTGTATAGGCGGTCGGTGCTCTGGTGGAGCTAAGGAGGGCTGTAGTCATGGTCTGTATCCCAGGTTCTTATGTATGTGGGTAGGAGTGACACGAGGGCTTCCTCAGGTGTGGAAGCTGTCATTCGTTCGGTGGGGCGTTGCCAGATGTGATTCCTGAGGTCTTATCATCACTGTGTCTGACATGTTATATGGCTATGTTGG